TACCTAACCTGTCACGTTATGATGGTGTAAGGTATATAAAACATCTGGAATGTTCCTTGCTGATTCTAGCCTGACAATTTAACAGTTGTGGTCATTCGTTATTTAATTATTTTGATTCAGTTGATATTGCAAATATTTGCAAATTGTTGTTCATAGAAATAGTTATTATACAAGATAGAGACTGAGATCGAGAGTGAGACGTAGATAGATCTCTGTGTTAATTGTTGGCTTTATTAGGAGCCAAGCAGTTGCTGATGAGTTCAGTTCTCTATATGGTGTTTCTTGAGCCGATGTTTTTCGCCCTGAGGTACATCTGATGTGAAGTTGCATCAAGAATTCTTCAATGTTCTTATTAATTTCAGTCTGTTGTAGCTTTGCTTGTGAAAGTGGTTGACTCGCAAATTGCCATTGTTCTTGCCCCTGGCGTCTCTCTGAAATCTGCTTTCATGTTAACAGGTCAAGAGGAGAATCTTGATGGGAACATATGCTCTATCTGCTGGCTACTATAATGCTTACTACAAGCGTGCTCAGCAGGTACTAGGATTTTATTGTAGATTGGTATCCTCCCTTTTTCTTTCTTTCATTATTCAACTTGAAGAGTGTGAATTTTGTGGGCTGAAGATAGCATTTTCCTTTATTGCCTCCATATCACTGTTATATTTGACTTGCTTGTATGCATATCGGCAAAAAACAAGAAAGGGGAAGAAAGGAAGATAGCATGCAACCTGTAAAATGGAGATTACATGTGTTTTTGCGTTTAAAGTAATTAAGGAGTTCTAGATTTGCTTAAGGTTTATCCATTAGAAATCTCATTTGGTTTTTTTTTTTTTAATATTTCAGGTTAGGACAATCATTCAGGAAAGCTTCAAGGCTGCATTGGATGAAAATGACATTCTTATTTCTCCTGCAGCCCCTTCAGCTGCTTACAAAATTGATATGCGGCTATTTCCTTTTGTGCCTGTTCCGCCTTGATTAGTCCGATTACTCATCTTACATTCAACTGCGCATTCCAATTGTAGGCGAAAAGAAGAACAATCCTTTGGCTATGTATGCTGGAGACATAATGACAGTAAGTATTCATGCCCTGCCCTTCTCTTTTCCTTGTCCTGTCCAAGCTTTGTATGATATGAGCTGAACAGACTTCATTCATTTGATACAGCTGTCTATGGTCTATGATAAGAGAAATACCTGCTTTCCTTGATCCAATACACTAAATTTTACACATATCACATAGGACTTTGCTAGAGTCCACAGAATGCATAGAATTGAGACCTGCACGATTTCGGCGTTATTGGCCTAGGCCTAGTATTGTAACTAAGCTACTTGTCTTTCATTACTATCTTGTATAGATGGGATACGCTATGACTGGAACATGTGAATGTTAACTTGGCTGGTCTACCTATTTTAGTATCACCATCTGGATTTGTTGATGGAGGACCCTCCGGCCTTCCTGTTGGTGTCCAGATAATCGGTGCAACATTTGATGAGGTTTTTGCTTCTCTCTTATCCGGTTAAGTTTTTACCTGATACTAAAGTTACTTGTCTGTCTTATCAAGTGCACAGTTCCTCCTTACGTTTCCTTATAGAGACCAGTCGTGCATTATTTTATTACCTGCGTTTTTCTTAAGACAAAGAATGGTTTGATTTGTATGCAGGAAAAATTCCTCAAGCTCGGGCATGTCTTGAGCAGACCCTTCAGGGTCATAGATGTACCCCTCCAATTATCGAGGATGAAGATGTGTGCTAGGTTTTCTAATTTACATGGGTGACATCACAAAGCTAGTGGATTGATTATGAAGGTTGTGTGTATGGGAAGATGAAGTTTAAAGGCATTGAGACAACTTTGCTAGAAGGCTGAGGGTGAATTCGATCTATCTTTGCCTTGCTGCCTTCATACTACCAAGTGGGACTGCAGAGTTGGAGTTTGCACTTGAGCCGTGTACCCAGTTTTCGCGCACTTACATTTGAAGAACTCATAGTTAAGATGGGTCAGTGGTGAATGGAAGTACAATCTTCGATAGAGACATTGGCCATCCCTACCATTATATTAGCCGACCGCGCGGATCAACACCAAATTAGGAACTTGTACAATTGTAGTGATTCTTTTCGATTATAAATGTTTTTCTTTTTCCGTGTGCTCTAAGCTTCTTGTGATTCTTTTTCCTGCTTAGGATTTGGAAGTATCCATAAAAGCATGTACTAACCTCTTTCCTTTGTGGTATGTTTTCTTGGAAAGTCGTGGAGCACATTGAGGAAACTTCCAATTGTCTTCTTTACTTGTGTGTGAGTGAAGCACTTGGGCCAAGCTGTCCGGAAAGCCAATTTTTTTTTGGTGTACAGCTTGTACAAAAGCAAGCATCAAGTTATTTTAGCTCCACATATGGAATGTCCAATCGAGCGAGAATACGGAAGAAATACCGTTTCTTTATCTTCTTTTTTAGTTGAGGAGGGATGTGATATTTAGCTGAAAACGAAAATTGATGAGCTGATTTGGAGGGAAAACTTTGAGGTGCTGCTCGTTAATGTAAAGGAAAATAAGCTGGTTAATGACTCTTCAAATCCGCCCACTGGTGTGGGTGCACAGGAAGGTGATTGTGAAGCACTCGAAAGATATTCGATTTCGAGACCATCTAATTCTAGATATCTTTAAAAGGAAGTTATAACCTAATCTCATGTCGATTGGCTCAAGATTCGGGTCAATGCGAATCGGAGTGAGAAGATGTCTTCCATCCATCCATGATGAGGATCAGTGTATGCCTACTATAGGCTTGGACTGTGATCTTCGACTGACTCTGAGTTCTGAAGCTGGAGGGAGAGATGATTTTGAGGCATTGGCCAGTGCATTCTCGTGCTTTGCATGTCAGAAGTGCCATGGCCGCCAACAACAAGCAACGCAACCCGAGGATGGACTCCGTGAAGGTGACCATCGAATATGATCAGCGTGTACAACCTGCCCTTAAGTGAGAATCCATCTTATTGATATTTCTATATGCAGATATGCAAGGGCGTTGCTGTTGCTAAAATTTTGAATGCTACTCTTAATTTACCATTATTAAAGCAGGATCAGATGTGGAAAGATCAATCGTAAGATGTTTGGACTCTGCATTCATATCATCTCTCCTTTCTCCTTCACCTTTTCTTCTTAATTAACTAAACTGCAATACTTTTGCTGCACAACAAGGTTTGGTTCAGGCTTTTCTGATACCTAGGACAGGGAGGTCATCATTTAGGGGAAGTCATTGAATTAGTTTATGCACAATCTCTTACCAACCCTTGGAATTGTATTTACACGAGAGCTTTCCTCTAGTCGTCAAGTTAGTCTAAGTTAACTGTATGTTAGACATCTCGATGGCTTCGCTCCAGGCTTCTGCTCTACTAGGAAAAAGTTTTTCCAGACAAAACTTCAGATAGTTAAATCAGTGGACATGGCTCGACTTCCCCAACATAGAATTATTTATGTATCTTCTTAGTCATGCATCGTTGACCAGTTACGTCAGTATCCAGTTGCATATTCCTCGATAGGACGCCAACTTGAGAAGAAATTCGGATGACAACGAAGAAGATGGAGTCATGGACTCTTTGACAAAGGAGGTTTACTCAGCCGTAATATGCACCTTATAGCCGACAGGCAAGAATTATGGCAAGGCATGCTTCGAATAGTGAAATGCTTGGAGTGCTTGCATATAATCTGAACGCGAGTAAACATAGTGTGTTTACAAGCTTTCTGTCTAATATCAGACCAAACAACTAATCACCAAGTGCCCCAGTGGGAGCAAAGAGATCTATATCCAACTGTTCAAGCTTTCTGTCTAGTATCAACACAACCCACTAATCTCCTCCCTTTAACAGCTGTCTTAATCATCAACAAAATTGAATCGGAATCATCTGAAAAACTATGTACCTAACAAACCACAGGACAACTTCAAGAGCAATTGAGGCAGAGACCTTCCCTGCGCTTTTTTGGGAAGAAACGACCAAGATTGGACGTTTTTTTAGCATTCGGGGAGCCGATGTTCGCCGGCATCTCGCCTCCCATCTCCAAATTGGGCTTCAGGCAGCCGGGCTGACAGTGTTCAGGAGCGACGATTTGTCACTGATTGGCTCGGATCTCCACTCCAATTTCCATGGCGCCATTCATGAGTCCCGCATCTTTGAGCCGATTTTATTTGAGAACTTTGCATCGTCCTCTTGATGTCTGGAGGAGCTCGCATGGATGGTGGAGCTGATGGAGACGAAGGGACGGCCGCTCCTACCCTTATTTCATAAGGTTAAAGCTTCGCAGATTCAAAGCATTTCCCATCCCTTTGAGGAGGCCATGCTCCAGCACAAGATTCAGCAGGACGAAAGCACCTTTGCGCGTTGGGGCAAAGCATTGAGGGTCGTTGGGACCCTCAAAGGATGGGATTCGGATTATGTAGCCCTTGGAAATGAAGGGGAGCTTATCAAGGTGGTTGTCATTAGCCGATCTTGCGCAATTGCTTCAGAACCTCTTTGACAACCACCTTGATAAGCTCCCCTTCATTCCCAAGGGCTACATAATCCGAATCTCATCCTTTAAAGGTCCCAACAACCCTCAATGCTTTGCCCTAGCACTCAAAGGTGCTTTCGTCCTGCTGAATCTTGTGCTGGAGCATGGCCTCCTCAAAGGATGGGAAATGCTTTGAACCTGCGAAGCTTTAACCTTATGAAATAAGGGTAGGAGCGGCCGTCCCTTCGTCTCCATCAGCTCCATCATCCATGCGAGCTCCTCCAGACACCAAGAGGACGATGCAAAGTTCTCAGATAAATCCGGCACAAAGATGCGGGACTCATGAATGGCACCATGGAAATTGGGAGTGGAGATCCGAGCCAATCAGTGACAAATCGTCGCTCCTGAACACTGTCAGCCCGGCTGCCTGAAGCCCAATTTGGAGATGGGAGGCGAGATGCCGGCGAACATCGGTTCCCGAAATGCTAAAAAAACGTCCAATCTTGGTCGTTTCTTCCCAAAAAAGCGCAGATACCCTGCAATTGCAAGACAACGAGGAGAAGATGTTGTTCAACAGTGAAAATTTAACTTTCCACATGCTAATGCTAGCAGGCCAAACGACGACGTACCCGATTTTAGTTTTTCAGGGAGCCCCTCCACCCATCTTCTGCGATGGTCACACTGCACTTTCTCCAGCAACATCTTTGCCATACCAGCTTCGTAGCCCTCTTTGATGAAATTCCTTTTAAATGAGCAGAAAAGAATTTTCCTTTGACCTGGCTTGAGGCCATCGACCATGGAAGGAATTGATCTTTGAAGATCAGCCATTGAAAACAATATCAGCTCCTTATTAACAAAGTCGCTGTACTTAATGAGCTTCTCCTTCTGATCAAGATAAGTGCCAGGCTGCGGGAAACATATCCATAATTCCATTAAGTCACATCTAAAAATGCAATAAGTACTTCTTGTGCTTATGATTCAGACAGCACTTCCAACCTCGAACTGACGAAGCCAAGTCTTCCTTGCTTCGATCTTCTTCTTGCTAAAAGCAAGCTCAATTGCATCTCCGTCTTGGTCATCAACCCAGACAAAATCCTTCTTGTGCATTTCAAGATTTTGGAAGTATTGCTTCCCCTCTTTTGAGGTGCTTGTTCCCAACCCCTGCAGAAATCATTCAACTACTGATGTTACCCAGTACAAATACTTTGGCAATAACTGAGTTATACTTCAACAGTGTAGACAAACCTTATAGTACTTGATTGACCACCCACTTCCATTGCCCCTCAAACTTTCCTTCCAAGACTCATATTCTGGCATTGTATAGAAACTTAATTCTCTTCCATTTTTATGAGCAGCCTGTAGTTACAATTAGAGAAGGCTTTAAGCTTTTTTCCCATCTACTAAGAACGGTTTAAATGATTGATTTAATTTAATCATCCCTACCTTGACAATGGGAGTGATAAATTCCACTAGGAAAGATGGAACTTTGAGCAAGGATGGCCAGAATGAATGAATGAAGTTAATTAAGAGGCCTTTAATGTGGGAACCATCATGATCCTGCAAATGCACATCCAGAATGCAATATATACACAGTGACTATACCATGACAAGCATTGGCAGTAGTAGCACAAGCTTGACAAAAAAATTATACAGAACAAAATTTATAGAATAGTGAAACCTGGTCTGTCATTATCATCAAATGACCATATCTTAACGATTTGACACTGTCATAATCCTTATTTTGCTGCAACCCAAGAATCTGCTTGATGAATTGTATCTCTTTGTTTTCCATTATTTGACTATGGCTGGCTTCCCTCACGTTGAGCAATTTACCTCTCAAAGGAAACACACCATAACGATCTCGACCGACAACAGAAAGCCCAGCCATCTGCATAAAATTCAGTTTGGTTAGCCAACTCTTTGAGAAATGTTCAGCCGCAAATTTAAGAAGCTTTCCAAGAAACACATCCAAAAGGTACCAGCACTTACTGCAAGGGCCTTTGCTGAATCTCCTTCTGTCAAAATCAGGGTGCACTTATCAGAGTTTCTACCTCCAGCGTCATTAGCATCCTCGAGCTTGGGAATCCCACGGAGGTTCTCTCTCTTCGACCCATCAGTTTTCTTTAGGTCTTTGCTCTGCTTGAAATTTGCCCATGAGAGGAGAGACTCAACAATTCCAGACTTTGCCACTGCATTATAGCAAGCATAAACAAGAGTCGCCTAAAAATTAATCGATCAACTTCATTAAATTCACTAAAGAGGGTCCAACCTTTTTGTAGGAACTTGTCAGATAGTTCACACTTGGACCCGAAGCTGCTCTGACGAAGTGTCAAAGTTTCCTTGGTTTGAGAGTCAAATGCAGGATTGTCAATGAGGGCATTGACAAAAACCCATAAATGACTCTTAACGTTATGGGCTTTGAGGTTGGCATTCTTGTTCTTCTTGTTCACAACACTCATAACATGGTTGGCAATCTGATTGGTCACATAATCAACATGCGTCCCTCCCTTAACTGTAGCTATCTCATTCACAAAGCTGACCTGTTGTAGAATTCACAATGTCAAATTCGTTCAGTAGTACTAGCTCTATATTTGCCTGTTACGAAGATAAATATTTCAAAGTACCTGTTGAAACTGTCCTTCGCTTAGGCTTACACAGATTTCCCACCGCTCATTCACAGTCTCCTCAATCCTGATCCAGTCAAGTAAATTTAGCATTCAGAATACCAATTCAAACTACAAAATGATTAATATCAAACGAAAAGAAAAGGAGAGAACCTTGGGAGGGAGCATTCTGGTCTATTTTTAGAGGCAGATTTCAGACACAGGCCGACATATTCAGCAAATGTTTTGACAGGAACCCTTCTCCCATTCAGCTCGACCTTCACGGTTTTTCCGAGACACCCAGCCATGTCAACGACGAGCTTTTTCATCAGAGCAACCACATCATCTTCAAGGTGGGACATAATAAACTTTGCCAAGTCTGGTTTGAATGAGACCTTGGTCCAGTTTTCGCCCGCCTTGCAAGGCTTAATATCAGGTGCACCTTTTACTCCCATGTTCTTTGAGAAAACCTTTGAATCATTGGAGCAGATCATTACAGGAGTCCAACCAAATTGATTCCACTAACCCAATAAAAATGGCGAGAACATTCCACCGAAAACCGAAATGAGCGCGCTTACTATCCTAAAACAAAGTAGCAACAACCTTAAGCAGAAACTACTGCATGACGTCCTCAAAAAACAAGACAGCACCATCCTGACCAAACAAGGGCAGCTTAAACAGAGACAGCAACCTTCCCATCAGAGCAATGTACATAACTAACATCAAGAAATAAACCTGAAGGAATCCCACATCATGAAATCTAGAGGAAATGGGAACACAGGCGCATCCAAGACCCGAATAAACAGAAGCTTAACTAGTCTAGATAACGCAGGTTCTTCTACTTCATAGTACTTCATATCGTTTTTACCTGCTTGTACTTCAGGCCATTCTTGCCGTCCGCCGTCTCAATGACAAACTCCGTCGAGAATATATTCGTGAGCTTAGCGCCATACCCATTTCTCCCTCCCGTCGTCTTCTTCACCGTGTCGTCGTAGTTGCTGCTGGTCAGCAAGTGCCCGAAGATCAACTCCGGCACGTAGACCTTCTCCTCCCGGTGCATCTCCACGGGCACGCCATCCCCGTTGTTGTAGACGCTGACGAGGTTCCTCTCCGGGTCGATGGTCACCTTCAGGGAGTCCATCCTGGGGTCGCGCTGCTTGTTGTCGGCGGCGTTGACGAGGATCTCGTCGAAGATCTCGTAGAGGCCGGGGACGTAGGTGACGGGTCGGTGCACCATCTCGTCGCCCTCGTACACCCAGAGCGCCTGGGTGTGCTTCTCGACGGAGCCGATGTAGGTGTCGGGGCGGAGGAGGATGTGCTCCAGCTGGGACTTCTTCTGGTAGGTCTCCTCGATGGTCTTACCCTTCCGCCCCCCCGCCGCCGCCGCCGCCGCCGGTGTTGGCGATGTTGCTGGTCTGCAGAGGGAACGTCTGCACCATGGGTGCGGCGATTGAGAGGGTCTCGAACCGGGGCAGGAAGAAATGATGGTTTTACCGTTTGAGAGAGAGAGAGAGACAGAGATTGAGTTTTTTTTTATTTTATTTTTTTTTTGGTCAAGGACAGAGATTGAGTTTGAATTTCGAATTGAGGCGCCTTTTTGCTTTTCGGTTCTAGTAGTTTCGCTTACTCTACGAGCCTTAAACTTTGGCCAAATATGTAATGGGATCTCTAAATTTTTTAAAATTTGTTTAATATGATTCTTGAACTTTAGCTCAATATGCAATGCTATCCATGAACTTTCGATTTATTCAATATGGTCCATGGATTTTTGGTGCATATTCAATTTAGTCTCCGAACTGTATGAAAATGTTTAATGTTGTCACTGAACTTGAATTAATGGAAGGACGACACTAAACACATTTTCACACAGTCCAGGGACTAAATTGAATATGTACCAAAAGTTCATGAACCACATTGAATAAATTAAAAGTTCAAGGACGACGTTGCACATTAGACTAAAGTTCAGGGACTATATTGAACGAATTTAAAGTTTAAGGATTATATTGCGCATTTTGACAAATTCGGGAACTATTTATGTCATTATTCTTTTTTTTTATCGTATTTTTTTTCTCTTTTTCTTTTCTTCTTTCACTTTTTTCTAAATCTTGCTATTCATATAATCAGATTTTATTTCTTAATTCACTCACAATTCTTTTCATAGCTTTTTTTTCTTAAAAAATTCGGAGGAGTATTTTAAATTTCCACACGAGATGGAAAAACGAGCATGATATTGATTAAAAGAACACTCGGGTGCTTCTATTTCGCTTGTTGCTATTTCAGCTAATCGCTCGATCAAGCGGGACTCAATAGTATGGAACTTGGGTGTGGGATTTAAGGACATCATGAACATTCAGTATTCGGCACGCCGAACAATTCTTATTCTTTAACGTTTGGTAATAATATTCATCCTATTTATCAGATATGCACATTACGAGAAAGAACAACCAAAATCGAAAGTATACAGTTGGCTGTTTGATGTAATTCTTTTTGGGCGACGCTAATTTCACCCCCTTAAACGGCTTAAGCAACACCCCCTTAAATTGAATCGTCTGAAATGCCTATAAAAGATAGGAAAATGATTACCTTTTTTTTTTTTTTTTGCTAAATCAGGAAAATGATTACCTTAACCGTCCCGTTACTTTACAAAATTGACGGTGCATTGTCAGCCACTAATCTTAAAGTTGGAAACTGGGGCACTGGCTGGTTCGAATTTATAAATTTTTGTGAATTTGACTGAGTGGGATTTCTTAGTCTGAAAGTCGTATTTGTAGGTGTTTGGGATTCTAAAATGGGTAAAAGCCACCAAAAATCCTAAATTTTACCCGTTACGACACGTTTACTGCAAATTATTTTTTGTGACAAAAAAACTCTAAATTTGTATCCATGTGATATATTTACCCCCACTAAAAAACCTAAATTTGTGTCCGCGTTATACATTTACCCCTAAAATTTGGTGTCGCGGAAAAAAGTTCGGGATTTTTGATATCGTAAAAAAAAAATTGGAATAAATGTGTCACACGTATATAAGTTTGGAATTTTTGGTGTCACATAAAGAAATTTAGGGTAAATGTATCACGCGGATACAAATTTAGGTTTTTTGTGTTATAAAAAATGATTTATGGTAAATGTATCACAGTAGATAAAGTTTGATGATTTTTGTGGCCTTTTCCCTTCTTTAAAAAGGATGGACAGCCAAAAAAAAATTGAAATCGGTAGAGCCATTCTCCCGTTTTCCTCCATTAAAAATTGCGGCTGGCATTCGACGGTCAAAAATTCAATATAACGGCACCGTTATCCTAGCCATTCCCTAAAAGATAAATATATTCCCCCAACCCCTTTTCTCTCCTCTTTCTTTTGCTCTCTTATCGGACAAACCTACATACCTCCATCTCTACTCTAAAACTTACCAACGATACACAAACAGTTCCAAAATTGTCATGAAATCGCCTACGTTTGCATGATGCGTGGTGTCATCTCCCATGGCGTAGCAGATTGAAACAGACTCATAAATGGCAAATTTCATTTGGTTCGGAGAGAAATGTCATCTCCCACGGCCCACCCACGCACACGCACGCACACACAACAATCAGGCGATCAACTAATTACACATCCAACTCCTTATGTTCGGAGAGAAATGTCGGCGTCGAAGAAGAGTATGCGGCGACTCAGAGTCGGAGACGAGCAATGGAAAAATGAGTTTTTTAACCCTAACTGTTGCTGCGGCCAGGTAAAATAAACTAAAGTTAAAAAAAAAGAAAGAAAGAAAGAATAAATGATTTAAAGAAATAAAAACAATTCAAAAAATGGAGTCGGACAAACCCCCACGCCCACGGCCCACCCACGCACACGCACGCACACACAACAATCAGGCGATCAACTAATTACACATCCAACTCCTTATGTTAAATTCGGATAACAAGGCAAATATACAAGATTAAATTCTAACACGACTTACCGATTATCCTAAATAATTTTATTTGAATCTTTTTTACTGGAGTAAATCAATCTCACATTAGTTATTGAATATGATCCACCTCATTAAGTTGTGAATTGAGTTTAAATGCTTCTATTACTAGTTCAAGAATAACATCTAGTAATGATATTATTTTTTTTGTCCCTTACTTCCTTATTAGCTAAATTAGGTTACCGCATTTATCGGCTAAATCTTTATGGGAGTCTCTTCTTTTTTAATTGTAAGCAACACTTACGGTTGCAAAATGCCTAAACCTCTTGTAATTAAATCCACAGAGAATTCTTCCTCCCGGAATTCTCAAACTCTATGGAACATCAACAAGATGGATCCCATGTTTCTCACTTCCCAATTGTTTTTGAGCAGATCATCATATCTCTTCCCTCTTCAATTTCTCCCTTGTTCGCTTTTTTTCTTTCACCTCTCTCTTCCCGCCCTTTTGTTCTTTATCCGGGAATATCTCAAAATCACCACTTTCTTTAATAACAAGTCGTCCTCTACCGACCACTCTAGCTAGGTTCAGAAATGAAAACTTTCGATTGTTCAGCCCGCATCGAGCCGGTTTCTAATATTCGAGAAAGGCAAAAGAGGACGGGATGATTATAAAATGCGCATGGAATGCATTGCACCTCGGGCAGGAAGCTCTCGGCATGAGATGGAATGGCGTCCATGATCTTAAAGGATGACTTCAGAGCCTCCCCTACCTCTCTAACATCAGCCTGTAAAGCACACCATTTTAATGTGCATAAAGTTCATCAAGAAAGCATATATATATTGACTTGCACCAGACGAGTGAGATTAATACCATACCCTGCAATTCCCACTTATCGGTAGTTGAATGGAAGCATCCAACAAAGCTCGGGTCACTTCAGACAAAGATGCCAAATAATCGCCGCCCTCAAACGCAGACCCACTCGCCAAGATGTGGCGTCTAGATGCAAGAACAATAAGACCGGATATACAATAAATACATACAAAAAGAAGTAATAGTACGACAAAATTAATAAAGTGATCAGCACAGGCGAACATTTGTTAATATATAATAGGCAACTTATAGTGAATCGACAAGTACAGTCCATAAATAATTTTATAATCGAAATTACACGCAAAGCCTCGTGGCCATACTTGAGCTGCGAGAATTGCCGATACTGCTTTTGCTCTGTGCACTATGCCATGTCTGCACTTTTCCTCATCACAGAATTGTATAAATCACCTAGCTCGACAGCGAGAGAAATCAGCATTTTGTGCAAGGAAATTGAAAGACCATGAATAACTACAACGTTCTTGAATCAACGTGACAAATGGATGGGAGTACAGAATTAATCAGCGGAATCAGCGTTTAAGCTAAACCAACATTAAATGCAGTTGAATGATAGAAAGAGGACCATAGAGATTGGCCATCAACAAATTACCACCAAGCTTCGTCTGTACCAGCAGCGGCCGGGCCTCCATGTCCTGCCGCGACTGATGCTCGGCAAGTCACGACCTTTCAACCAAGGCTGCTAACGATACTCACTGTCCTTGCTGACCCCTTCATGGCCGGGACAACTCTGGGAACAAACATTCTCAACACAAAATTTTCCAGATCTGGTTGAAACATTTGGTCGAGCAGGTGGAAGGCGTTGCAAAAACAGCCGATCCTCGGCTCAACGGGGGCTCGGCTCCGAACCGGGACTCTCGATACACGACGTATGGGGTCGTGGGCTGCGTGCGGGCGAGGGGAAGAGGGAGAGAGGGGGTTGGGTCGGGCCGGGCTTGATCTGATTTTTTTTAAAATTTTTAAAATTATTTTTTTTCAAAAAAATCTAAAATTTGCTTCCTTTTTTTTATTTTTAATCAAAAGAAGAAAAATGCATTCTAACAATGTAAAATGCACCTAATGTCTATATGCAATGCTGCTAAATATTAAACATTTTTTGTTTTAGGAATTAAGGACATGAACCCTTAAAGTTTTACGTAATTAATTCTGGGCAAAATTAAAAATAGGTGTCGACAACAGCAGCTTGATTCGCGGAGAATGAGGAAGAAAGAGGAAAAGATCTCGCTTAACCCCGTTCTGTGCTTGTCACTGCACTAACGTACCACTTCCTGCACCTGGAGGAGTCATTTTGCTGCAACTGCAACTGCAACTGCTTAGGTTTCCTCGGGTCAGGAACAAGCCCAAGACTCATTATCATGCCCCTATTTTCAGTTCAACTCATCTATCAAATGAGATATTGAATGAGAACATTCGGAGGAACGTTTATCAGTCGAAAGCTTTCGTCTGTGAGTAACAAAATTGCTTTGGAAACTTGTAGGCTTTTTGAAAGGTTTCCGGTCATCTGCAGACAACTAAAATTCTTTTGGTAAACTCAAACAGGACACTCATAAATTTGCTTATGAATTGTATAGGCTGACGAAAAGAAGTTTTGCACGATCGCTTCCGAGTCGTAATTGTTAACATCAGATATCTAAACCAGGGGAGGACTCCATTACACATATAAC